CATTTTTTTGTTCATGAATATTGTGAATTTGTAGTGTTATTATCAATATTTGCCCAGCTAGATGGTGACCAAAGTCAGAACTAGTTATCACTTGGACTGCAGCCCAGGAAATACCAGGCCTATAGGCATCGCAGAAAAGGGCAATGGTAAATCACTTCCATAAGGTTGGACGTGTCCATGCTGTCACCAGGAGTTAATTTTTCAACTGAAGCAAGGTTGTACTATATCTATCAATACTATTATATACATGCTTTTATCAATATTTTTTCATGGTTTTGTTCTATGTTATGATGTTTTATTTTTTATGCTCCATCAGTATTAGTTTTTCAATGAACAATTTAAAAATAATTTAAAATAAATAATTGTGATGGGAGTCAAGGTGAATGCTGGCTCCATGAATCAACCTAAGATTGTCAAGAACTAGCTGATACTCTCAATATTCTTAGGTGGGCAAACAAACCATCCATTAACAACATTTTGCTTGTCTTGACCAAGTTCATTTTTTATACTCACACACTAATTTAGAAAAAAAATCCATGTCTCAGCTAAATTCAATTGATAAAAAGGTAATATAGTTGGATGTCACCTGTGCTGTGGTGACAGTCAAGCCCACATTTCCTGATTATTTCTCACACCTATTTCATGTAAATCTTAAACAGCATACATTGAAAAACTGAACCCTGTAGAACCAATATCAGCCATTTGTTAGAGAAATAATTCCACAGCCCCTTTTTTGGGAATTGGTAACCCTAGTAGGCATGGAATTGCTTCTATACATCCAGTATCTAACTACTGATAATTATACCAGGTTGATAATACCAAAATCTGTTGAAAAGTTCAGAAAAATCAACAAAATCTACTTGTTTTGTGGGGAGCCAATTTAGTGAAGTGGTGAAGGTGCTGGACTGGAAACTAGGAGATAGTAAGTTCTGGTTCTCCCTTAGGCACAGAAGCCAGCTAGGTGACTTTGCCCCAGTCACTCTCTCTATCCCAACACACCTCACAGGATTCTTGTTATGAGGAAAATAGAAAGGGGGAGTATTATATACATTCCCTTGAGTTGTACAAAATGAAAGTGTAATATAAATTTAACAAATCAATAATTTTAAAATGGAATGCTGGTCAAATTATCAAGTGTTACTCAATTCAAGTTAGTTAAAATGTAGATGACATACAGACTCCAATTAATCCACCTGCCAAATGGTCAAGTAGCTTAAAAAAATTATCTTAGCAGGCAAGAATGATCATAAAAAAGGAAGTTTTATCACAATTTAATTACACTGCCAGAAAAACATGCAGTAGATTTTTGGAAATCAATCGTTTTCCTAGTTTTGAATTGCCTTCTCTTCCCCTCCTTCTCTGGGAATAATACAGATCTGATTAGTGGAATGACAGAGGAGCAACTAGATAGCAGGCTGTTCTATTTTCAGTTCCTCTCTATTACAGTCATAGACCACAGTTCCTCTTTTATATTGTTCAGTTCTATGTTTTAACTTCTATTCCTCTGCATGTACTGGTTGCTTCCTTCATAGCATTTTTCTTCTGTTCCAGAACAACCTCCTAGTTATTTCCCCTTGCATGATCATCTCTATAGTTATTCTCTATCCCCCAACCCAGTAGCTGTCTTATCTCCCAAATATACTCATCATTCCTACTTTAGAAAGCTATATTGCACCAACCTTGGTGGCTAAGAAGAAAAATACTTAATTCAGTTGTAAGAAGAGAATTCCAGAGAAAGACAATTACTGGAGAAGATCTCTTTGGAAGAAAAATAAATGGGTGTCATTTTCTATACTTTTTCATCTTGATTTTAAAAATGAATGTTTAGTGTGCTATACTTGGGCTTGTCAGAGAAGGGAAAATAGTGTTTTTTCAGAAAAAGATCTGCAAGGATCTCAGGTTTATACAAAACAATAAACTGAAACATAGAACTTGATTCTCTATTACAGTATGCATTAACTCTTATCTCAGAAAGCCAATACATAACTAAGCACAACAGTTAGTTTAGTAATTTTTCAATCATGTTCTAAGAAACCTTGAAAGTTTATCTAATTCTTCCTCAATTAGAAGATCAGTACTGACAATGAAAAGTTGTCTCTCTTTCCTTCTAAAATCCCCGGCCATAAAAAAATTATTGGGTATATATTCTGAAGTATTCTGTTTTAACATGGGACAATTTTATGAGATACAGGAAATCTGGCTATCATTTTAACTGATTTGACAGTGCATAATAGAACAGCACTCAATTAGATCAATCCATATAGAAAACATAGTCCTTGTTTCTTTAATAGTACTTTCCTCCAATCACATAGTTAAAACATGACAAATATCTGCAATATTGTTCTGATTGCAGTACCAAATAGCCCCCATTCATCACTAAAATGTAAGGAGTTTAGTAGAGGAATCTTTCAAGAACTGCTAACAGTAGTGTAATAATAAAGTTTATACTAATATAGAAAAGTTTATCATATAGTACCTTTCTGGAAGTTATTATTCCTTTATTATTGCAAACCCACAGTAAAATTTGTAATCCGCAGACATCTCCTTCAACCATATGGCATAATATTTAGGATATTTTAGGAACATGTAGTTCCTAGTACTAAGTACTATACAAGATAAGATATAAACACATTGTCAAAATTGGAGAGCTACACTAACAGTAACTAAACAAAATCCTTTTTTAGCTGTCAGTTGCCAAGAAGTACTATGGTGAGAGACTGATGAAAATGGGTAGATTTTGTGTTGAGAAAAGAAGACTGAGAGAGGATATAAGAGCAGTATTCAAAAACCTCAAGTGATATCACACAGAAGAAGGCCAGTACCTATTCTTTCTCATCACAAAATAATGATCTTTAATTACAGAAAGGCAGATTCTGGTGGCTGAATATTAAGAAGTTATATTATATATATATAGAAGTATTCAGATTGGAGATACAGTACTAACAGTTCTCTAAAGTTTGTCTCATAATACTTCGTTTCATAGCTCTGAAATAGTAACCTACAAAGCCTATGATCTAAAGGTGGTTCTTCCCTATCTAAATTACGAATATAATCTCTTTTTCTCACATTTAGAATGTTCTAATCAGTGTTTCCTGATTATTTTCTAATTGCTCTTCTTTTTATTTTATCAGAGGTTGCTTCCAAAGGTCTCTGTTTTTAGGAGCTATTTGTCAGGCAACAAATGCAATTGGAAGACAACTCTGGCATCCATGGGGGAGCATCAAGGGGGTGCAAAACATGTCCAAAGAACACAGCCTGTAGATGTGGTTCAGGATTAGTAAAGCAGAAGTCTCCCATATTATTACATAATCTGCAAAAAACTGATGATCCACGCTATGGCCTATAACAGCTGGGCCATGTGAGGAGCAAGGGCTCCTCCCTGCCATGCATTTGTCACCAAGATTTATGCCACTGGAAAAATACTACCCAATTAGGAACCCTGATTTCTTTCTACAGCTTTTTTTTTTACTTATACTTTTTAAACTAACTCAAAACCTGTGTTATATGTCAGTTATATATAAACTTATAGTTGTTATATTAAATGTGTAAATATAATAATAAATTCCATAAAAAATAGAAGCAATTTCAGGAACTGTTCCCAAATGTTTGGTAAACTGAACAGAAATTCCATTTAATTGTTTTTGTCTAATAATCTAGTGGTACTGCAATCCCTTTTCATCTACATAAATGCCAGGAAGAGCAATTAAAACCTTGGCATCACAGAAACTTTGACCCAAGCTTAAAATATTTCAGCTGTATCAACATCCTTAGTCAAGGAAAAATACTGTCTACTTCAAGCACAAATTTTGATTAGCTATCAAAGCAAGTCAAACATGTGGACTCCTGGTCATATCTTTTTGTGCAGCGATGGATAACTTTGTTTTTAGAAAATAAAAAAGAAATCTTCCAGTGGCTTTACAAATACATGTGTTTCTAAAGGCAAAATTACAACAAAACCACTTTTGACTAAATATGCATTCTTAACAGAAGAAGTTTCAATTGTTCCCAATAATTCTTTCCTGGAAACATGCTGCCAACCAATCTTCCAAGTCTCTTGTTTTGGAATTGGGCTAAAGTTTTGTAAGAAATGTCTCCTTGCAGGATCAATAACTGGGCTGAGTTAAACATCTTTCTCCTGCAAGCACCCCTAATTCCTGCGAAGTTAACCACAGAGAAAGATAAGAATCTTATTCAAGATAAGAATAAATAAATTCTCAGTACAATAAGGCAAATACAGTATGGATGAATCCCATACTACACTAATGCACTGCAGTTTTGCACAAACTGTCTGTTTTTAGAAAGCAATCTCTTTAGGGGTAAATGATATGGCTTGACTCCTAACACCTTCTGGTAGGCACAGCTTTTACTTTTCTCTTCTTTGGGGCAGAGACCAGTGTAAAACTTCTGGTCCTCACCACACTTCTTTCTAAAGTGAAAGTAGCAAGAACTCATAAGTTACTAGGTGCAAAACACTGTACCTCAAACTTTTTCCCCTCAAAACCCAAAGTGCACTGGCAATAAGAAGCTTCTGCACCACTGCAAAAGTATTTTCCTCATCTTCTTAAGGACTGAGCTTTAGATTTGAAACCTGATTCTGGGGTTCAGCATAGGTTCTGCAGAAGAGTGGAGGAAGCAGGGGCTGAGAGGGACACCTGCAAATTTAACAAAAGGCAGGCTGCTGTGACAGGAAAAGCAAGAACTTCTCTCCTGGCGGATGGGACAACCATCCTGCCCATGTACAAACAAAGCAAGCTGCTGAGCACTTGCTCAAATGCAGCTGTCCAAAGGCCTAGAGAGTTACAACGACCCAGGTTCTGGCCTCCTGGCAGAGAGAAGCAGCATTTCACGCCTCGGCAGGTGGAAGGAGAAAAGCAGCAGCTTCTCGCCCAATTCAAGTTAATCTGTGCCCACGGTCGACCCTCCCCCTCCCCCTAAGTATCCCTTGACAACCACTTCTCCATGCCTTCTCCTTCCCTTTCCATGTTCCTTCCAGTCGGTACCTGTTATGCCTCTGCGCGGCTGAGGCTTTGGTGTAATAAGCCGCCCTCCGTTGGGTGCTGCGCGGTATCGGGTGCAGAGGGATTTGATCCGCCATCTTTCTTCCCAACCCCCTATCTCTCACTCACTCTTTCCCCCGCCCTCAGCCGGAGGGATTGAATCGTCATCGTCGACGCCCCTTGACGTCACGGCGCCGCGTAATGAGCCAATGACGCAGTCAACTGTCGATGCTGGCCGAGGCAACGAGAAAGGAGAAAAGGGGAAGAAGGGGAGGGAGCGATGAGGGGGAGGGGTACGCTATGAAAGTGAGCAGCGTGTCGTGACCAATCAGCTTTTGAGGAACGCTCGTGCTTTCTCCCAGAGTCTGGGTAGAAGAAGAGCTCGCGCGAGTGTGCTAAGGGGCTGTGCAGGGTACAAGGAGCAGCGAAGGGAAACCGAAAGTCTAAGCGATCGGGAAAATCATGTAAAGCGTGCATGGAGGGGGCCTGGCTCTTCTCCTGCGATGTTTCTGAGAAATGGTGGCAACATATTATGGATTAGGAGCGGGCCTCAAAAACTATTTTCCCAGGCTTTTTAATGTAGCTATTTTAGTTTTGTGTTTTATATAATTAGTCATATTTTCATTGTACCTTGTAAGCCGCCAAGGAATTTGGTGGTATGTACCTTTTTTTTAAAATGAGTAATAAATTTTCCAGTGGGTCTCCAAGGGAAATCGGACATTTACACTGCGCTCCTGCGCGTGTTTGGTCGAAAGCTAACTGGTAAACATACTGCTTTTCAGCACGTTTCAGTTTGTAGTATGATATTTCAGAAGCTCTGATATCTTTTCCCTTTTTTTAAAAGCATACCAATATTAGCAAGCTTTTAAAGATCGGGATGTGAGAAAATTTCCATTATGATGCATTATTATGCTCTTGCATAAATGTATCTCAACCGAACTAATTATTGAGGCATTATTTTATTATTGCATGTGGTATGTCATTTGAGGGGAAATTATGAGAGGAGGCATTACACTTTTCTCACTCCCCAGGACCCTGTAAAGCTTTTTGTGCAATTGTTGATAAGTAAAATAAAATTAAGTTTAGGACAAAATAAGATGGGGAGAAGTTTCAGCATATGAATAAAAAAAATGATATTTATGAAAAAACGTTTATATTCTGGTTGTGCACATATTTGCTTTGGACGCATTCCTATATATTTCCAGACCCGCACCCAGCCCTTGACTCTAATATGTTTGTGCATTCGTGTCTTACATCACAAGATATGACAGTGTCTTGGTGTGTGTTTGTGTGTTGGGAGGGGACACATACTTTGTTTGCTTACTTTAATGCCAGGGTAAACAAAGGTACATTAATGCAGAGAGGTACAGCTGATACAACAGTGAGATGGTGATGTCACCAAAGAGGAGGAGGTGTTAAGATAAACACACTTTAAGTTTTATTTTTATGTGAAACAAATTTAATGTGATTTCTTTCCTTTCATTGACTTGATAGCAAATTCAGTCAACTTCATTAAAAGTTATATCCAAAGAAGTTGATTTCAACTTATACGCAATAGGAAATTAAAATGTATGCATTTTGCTGCTTTTTTGTTTTTACTGTTCACAAAAATGAACATTTGAAGATTGTTAAGGTGGTCCTTTCAAGATCTGCTTTTGAGTAAATGTTGCTTTTCCTCTTCTTGCAAAGCATTTACACCAAGTTGCAGGTTCCCAAGGATCATCTGCACTGTTATTCCTTTCCATGTTTTGTTTGTATTTTCCGCCCAACGCTATTTTTAATGTGGAACTGAAAGAATGTTTGAATTATGTCTCAGCACCATGAATTCTAGATTAGTAATACAGAGGTCCAGTATAATTGTATGGCATTCTTGGTGAACCAAAGGTTGATCTTGCCAGCTGATTTTCTATCTTCTATTATTATAATAATCAAGAAACTACTACTAATCACACCTCACTTCCCATTACAGTTAATTGTTTCTTAGAAGTGCTCTGCCAGTGTTGTGCCTTACCTTGCTGGAATCTTGGTACACTCAGCTCACAGCCATCTCCCAATGTTCTACTAATTGTGCAAAAAGAGCCTTCTTTATTCCCCTTCTCTTCTGTCATGAACTGATTTTTGACCATTCCATCTTTTGCTTAAGGCAGATCATGTATTCTCCTGTGGTATTTTCTGCAGATTAATTCTTCAGTATAATGAAGGCAAACTCCTCCAACATTACCTATCTGAACTAAGTTTATGGACCATTTTTAAAAGTGGACCCAAGAACAGTAGAGAATCTTTACCATATAATAAGCACTCAGTTGCTTTCTCCTAAATTTTACCTCAGGCAAATACCACATGACACAAGCTTGAAGCTGATTTTGGTTCCACTATGCTGAACAAAGTTTTCCTCAGTTAATAAACTCTCAGTTGTTTTTCCCTGAATTTCAACCCAATCAAATGCTACACAACCAGAACAAATGTGATACAGCAGTATTCTCTTATTTCAGCCCTTTCTGTTTGCTCTAGTTTCCAAGGTGATTTAGTTTCTAAGTCTTTTGTTGAAATTTCCTCTGATCAGACTTCACCATGTAACCTTTGAGGTTGAGTTCTGCCGCCTTTTTGAAAATCCCACATTATAGCCCAGTTCACCTTAGCCAGCAGCTCTGGCTTATGAATCCTTTTTGCAACAGTAGTTCACCTTGTATCCAAAAGCAAATTGTTTATTGCTTTTTTTTTCTTAGTAGGCTGTAGCACTGTATTTGACCAACTCTGGCTAAAAACAACTGATACATTCTCCATCTCCGCATGTGTGTTTCTTGTTTTAAATTCAGAGTGCGTCACTCAACTAGCCCCCCCCCCCCAAAACTGAACAGTATAATCTTCCAAAAGCTAAGGGTCCTGTTACCAGGATCATTTTCTGGTAACTAGCCTCCAGTAATGAAATATCAGTCAATTATTTTGCATTGGCAAGTGATCAACTGAAGTAAGATTAGTTCTCTATCACAATATATAAATAAATAAACCAAACCTCCCTCAAGTTTAACTTCAACTCAATTGCATCATTTTTTTTTTTTTTGGGCAACTGTACAAAATAGTTTGCCAGTGCTGTCTTGGGAGTGTTTTATCAACTTGACAATTTGTCTTACATCTCTGGGATTATTTGATTGTCTCCTATCCAAATATTATCCAGGTCAATCCTTCTGAAGGACAAATTAACATGCTGAATTTTTCTGAAATGAATGTCATTTTCCCTTGTGTGTGCAAGCTTTTTTTTTTTTTTTTGGACCAGAGACCATTCTCTAAAATGTGTATAAAGCCAGGACAGATACAGTTAAATTACATTAGCAAAATACAGTTAGCATAGTTATTCCATTGCAAAATGCCAGCAACATCCAAACCCTGTAAGATTCTAGGGTCCAGATTGTACAGTTCCACTTCACATTACGTTTTTTGTGATTGTATCATTCCCAGCAATCTCAAAGGGAGGTATTATTTATATCACACAGTGCAATTTGTTTGTGGTCCTCTTTCTGTTTGTGATCATCTGCAAGCCAACAATAATAGTTTTGCTTATCTTCTCTCCATTCTCATATTCATAATGTAGATGATGGAGGAGATAACCATTATTAGTTAAAAATAACCAGAATTCCCATCACTGGCATTTTCATTGAAATTTAGCAAGAGACTTCTCTTCCTGGATATTGTACATGCTAGTGTAGCATTTCAAGCTGATCATTTAGTCAGCTTCTAAGCTTAAAAGTCACAAAGCAAAAGTATAAAACTTTTGCACTTGCAAAAGACTAATCTTAGACACCTTCCAATTAATATTTTATAGGTTTCAATTATGACTGCCTTATCAAGCCGACTGGGAAGAGAAGACACAACAATTATTTATAATAACTTTGTTGGCTATAATTTCCACTTCTCCCTGAAAGCTGGATGGATGTTTCTAGAAGCTTCGTGTTAAACAGAAGCGCTTACACTTGACCTTGCGCTTCATCTGCTCTTGCAGCACAGCGGTGCCTCTTTCTTCCTGTGAAAGACAGGTGCAATTTGTAGCCACACAAATTATACAGTTCTTGCTATTAACATTCTTTTATCTTGTAAATTACTTACATTGATTACACTGAAGAAGGTTCTATGAAATGTTGCTAACGCAAGTCTATGATTTGGCTGTAATATATAATTCTTAAATTAAGACAAGACTGGAAAGAAATGACATCTTGTGGTAGCAGATGCGAAACTCAGATCTCGGCCACATGCAGTCATTAAACACCCTGTGTTACAGTGTGCAAGTATATCTTTGCTTGGCCCTGGTGTCCTGGCAAACTTCCAATTCAGGTAATTACTCTGTCTACCTAATCTCCCCTGTAGTTTCAATTGGATAAGTTATGGTGTTTTCTTTTGCCTCCTGCTTCAGATTGTTTAGCTGGTATTCCTGGGGTGGGGAGCTGGATACCACATTCCACTGCAGAATTAGCTGTGCTTCATCCTAAAACAAAAAGTACCAATTGCATCCTTGGAGTGCCTGAATTCACAAGGGAAGACTTGTGTAGATCTTCCTTAGTAGTGTTGAATGCTATTCTCTGAGAGACCACCTAAATTCAAGCCGAGTTAGGAAAGCAGGTCAGCTGACTTCCTTCCACAACCCTCTTACCTTATCTCTAAATCTTAGACTAATTAAGCTCCAATTTCAGAACCAAGATAAGAACAAACAAAAGACAGGGAGAGGGGTACACATGTTGGAAGCACACTTTCCTCTAATGTATCTAGACAAACTCTGATTGATTCAAGTCTGCTTTCTCTTCTGATCCAAAGTTGTTCTCTCCCCCCCCCCCCCGACGCCTATCTTCCCAGCAAAAATTAGGAATAATGCACTATCGGTTGTTTTAAAAAAATAGTCCACTCATCTTTTATTTGCAATTTTCTGTGATATGACATAGAAATCCATTTTAGTGAACCTTGGTAGAAAGATGGTATATAATGCTTAGAGTACTGGATTAGGACTGCGCCCATGCTTAAATTCCCATTCAGCCATGAAGCTCGCAGAATGACTGAGTCAGCTATTCTGCCTTAGCTTAACCTATCTCACAGGTTCTAAATATACTGTGCTCTAGGGGGAGGGATCATTTACATTGTGTTGTTGGGGGGAGAATGAAATATAAAGGCAATAAAGAAAAGAAACCTATGATATGTGTAGAGATAACCATGCATTTGAAAAAGTCCCAAAGGCATGGCTTTTACCATAG